AAAAAACATATATAAAAATGACCTAAAAACCTCCTATAATTTGGCCCTAAAAAACCTGTAAGATGCCTTGCTACCTTTCTAGATTCTTTAAGCCAGAATCTACAAGCCTCTTTACATAAACGCATTCCTTGCTGTACCATAGTTCGCTTTACTGCTAGGTCTTCAATTTCCTATCCGTGGACAGCATAAAGGCCTTCCAGGGAGCGCACAACTACCACGGCACATCTGACACTTTTCGTGCGCCTCCCAAGGCACCTTCATCCAACGCTCTTACTTAAGCGGCACACCCCTCTTTCGCGATTCCTCATACTTTGCGCAGGCCTTGCAACCTCTCCGGCCTGGAAAGCCGGTCTGAACTTACGTTTCCCCGCATAGCGTGTTAGTCGCCCACAGCCAAGATCTTAAAACCGTTGCCGAGACACTGCAGACTAAACACTCCGCCGGCGCCTGGGCAGTACGAGGCCAAAACCGGCGCAGATTCTACTGCAGCAGGTCGTGGCGGGAAGGAGATGCGCTCGGTGTCGGAAGCGGAGACCCGCGGAAAGCCGCAGGGGCCTAGTCCAGGACAGGCAGGGTCGGCCAAGCCCCCCCCCCGCAAAGCCGCGGAAGGATCGCCAAGGAAGCCAGCGTCGCCACCCCCGTCCCCTCTCCACTCACAGAACTCCACCAGGATATTCGGGTATTGCTCCAGCGCTTGTTCGAAGTTGGCCGCCTTCAGCACCAACACGCCCTCCTCTTCCTCGATGTCTGCGGCAAGACAGACCTGACCCAGCCACAGCAAGCACAGCAGCGGAGCGAAAAGACGGACGAGCTTCATGGCGGCGCGGTCGACGACAGCGGGATCTCCAAGAGAAGAGACCGAACAACAAGAAAGCGCCGCGAAAGAGAGCCGTCTGACCCCGCCTTCCATTTATAAACCCGCCCTTGCCCCGCCGAGGCTACAGCCTATTGGTCACTTCCGGCCTCCTCCAAGTCTCTTCTCATTGAACTGGCGCCGAGCCTCGGGCCGCCCTCATTTGTTGATTGGTCGCTAAAAAACCTAGCGTCATCTTTCCTTCCACCTCCGAACAACCCGGAGAGTTTTCTGCGTTCCGTCAACTGGGATTGGCTCGGCAGACTCCTTTGTTGGCTGCGATTGGATAATATCGCTGCTCTCGTGCCATTTGTTCAAACGCTTTTGATTGGTTGCTTAGTGAAGCTTTAAACAGAGTCTTCCCCTTCCTCCATTACATTTCACCTCTCGCCTTTGGAACGTGGCATCTAGGGGGCCCGCCCGGTTTGTAAGGCGCATGCGTATTGGAGAGCCTTCGTTCGTGTTTGATTCTGACTGGGCCGCGTTTTTAATAGGACCCGGAAAAACGGGCAACAAGTATTTCCGGGTCTGAGGAAATCGAATACTTGTAGGCGTTTTCTGCCTGAGACGTTGCTCGGAAGGCGGGGGAGAAAAGAGGAAAGGAATTGGCTGGATGGTGGGAAATATGAACTATATGGGTGAATTTGTGTGTTATGTCAAATTGCCTATAAAGAATGGGTGAGATGATGTACTGGGCTGGTTGGAAAATTACGGGTGGGGGGCCGAGGATGATTCATATTGCAATTGCATGAGATAAGGGAGTGTAGGCCGAAGTTAAAGTGGTCTTTTCTCTGCTTCTGAGGTAAAAAGTATTCAAAAGTCTTGCCGTGCAGGAAAAGAAAAATATTGGAGTATTAACTGTTACTGGGTGGCTTAAAAAGGATTAGTGTTTGGAGAACACTAATCCTT